AACCAACCAAATATACTCTAAGATCAATGATATTAGTCTTAGGAAGTCATTTTTAGCATTTTAGGACAATTTGTGAACAATTCAAAAAGGCGTCAAAGTTGACCAAAATGGTTAGGGGTAAGCCTTACCATTTTGGTCAATTTTGACTAGTTTTTCAATGTTCCAAAAACCATACAAATATGCTCTAAAATGAATGATATTAGTATTAGGAAGCAATTTTTATCATTTTAAGACACTTTTTGAACAATTCAAAAAGTCGTCAAGATAGACCAAAATGGTAAGGGGTAAGCCTTACCATTTTGGTCAATTTTGACGAGTTTTGCAATGTTCCAAAAACCAACCAAATATGCTCTAAAATGAATGATATTAGTATTAGGAAGCCATTTTTACTCTTTTAAGACAATTTTTGAATAGTTCAAAAAGTCGTCAAAATTGACCAAAATGGTAAGGGGTAAGTCTTACCATTTTGGTCAGTTTTGACGAGTTTTTCAATGTTTCAAAAACCAACAAAATATACTCTAACATGAATGATATTAGTCTTAGGAAGTCATTTTTAGCATTTTAAGACAATTTTTGAACAATTCAAAAAGGCTTCAAAATTGACCAAAATGGTTAGGGGTAAGCCTTACCATTTTGGTCAATTTTGACGAGTTTTTCAATGTTCCAAAAACCAACCAAATATACTCTAACATCAATGATATTAGTCTTAGGAAGTCATTTTTAGCATTTTAGGACAATTTTTGAACAATTCAAAAAGGCGTCAAAGTTGACCAAAATGGTTAGGGGTAAGCCTTGACCATTTTGGTCAATTTTGACGAGTTTTTCAATGTTCCAAAAACCATACAAATATGCTCTAAAATGAATATTAGTCTTAGGAGGCCATTTTTAGGATTTTAAGACAATTTTTGAACAATTCAAAAAGTCGTCAAAATTGACCAAAATAGTTAGGGGTAAGCCTTACCATTTTGGTCAATTTTGACGAGTTTTTCAATGTTCCAAAAACCAAATAAATATGCTCTAAAATGAATGATATTAGTATTAGGGAGCCATTTTTAGCATTTTAAGACAAATTTTGAACAGTTCAAAAAGTCGTCAAAATTGACCAAAATGGTAAGGGGTAAGCCTTACCATTTTGGTCAATTTTGACGAGTTTTTCAATGTTCCAAAAACCAACCAAATATGCTCTAAAATGAATGATATTAGTATTAGGAAGCAATTTTTATCATTTTAAGACACTTTTTGAACAGTTCAAAATGTCGTCAAAATTGACGAAAATGGTCCAATAATCCAAAAACCAATCAAATATGCTCTAAAATGAATGATATTAGTTTTAGAAATAATCTTTAAAAAATCTTGAAAAAGATTTAAGAGAAGAAAACAAATTGACAAGAAAAAAAATTTGAACACAGGAAAAAAATTGGACACGAGAAAAAATTGGATAGAAGAGAAAAAATTTACAGCGAGACAGACCTAAAGAAAAATATTTGGGTAAAAAATTTGGACACAAGAAAAAATTTTGGCAGGAGGAAAAAAAATTTTGACAAAAAAAATTTGGACACAAGAAAAAATTTTTCGTCTTGGGCTACCTGTGTCGGCATTACAGTAGCCCAAGCCTTGACAGGAAGAAAAATTTGATGATTAGTAAAAAATTAACAAAAAAATTTTAACAGAACAAAATAAATTGACAAGAAAAAAAAATTGGACACAAGTAAAAAAATTGGACACAAGAGGCGGATAATTAAAACGAGAAAAATGATTGGTCTTGGGATACCAGACACAGACACAAGAAAAAAATTATGGTTAAAAAATTTGGACACAAAACAAATAATATTTTCTTGTGTCAATTTTTTTTGTCAATTTTTTCCTCCAGCCCGAAAATCGTGTTCGTATATTAGTCATGACGATGGATAAACTATAAGTCGGATTGATATCCTGAACATTTATTATAAAATCTTTTTTGCCTTTACAAGCAGTGGCGTTGAAAACAAGAACAGCAACATTTGGGAGATGATCACATGACACTTACGTCATGTTCTATTACGCAATATGTTGATGACTAAACACTCCCACTTAAACATAGAAAGTGATGTTAACTAAATACAACTATTCGTTTTTGTTTTCTACTATACTATTATTACAAAACTATAATAACTAGATGCAACTATTTTATTGTGTGTGTGTGTGTTTTCTACTATATTGTTATTACAAAACTATAAGTACAACTATTTTTTTTTCCTTTTTACTTTCCAAACACAAGTGGGTCTAACTTTAACTTTAACTTTAATAATTATGCCTCTTTGAGCATCTCTATGTTGTTACAAAGTTCAAAAACAATTCAGTATAAAAATTACTTACAAAAACTTTTATAAAAAATATATCTATAAGTCTATATATACAAATACACTAGTTCATATTTAAAAACCTAAATTCTATTAAAAATTTCATCTGATAAGTTCCAATACCCATTAGTACCGTCACTGCCTAGATTAGTCAATTTATGATATTCTAATTTTGCCTTAAAATCATTCACCGAAGTTGCTTCTTTTACCTCACATGGCAACATATTCCAGTACTTAACTACACTCTGCTTAAATAAGTCCACACTATTACCAAGCTTATAACTTGATGTATGTACAAGATTTCTTCCTGATCTCGAGAAACGGAAAAAACCATCTCCATAATTCACTATTCCTTTTATAATTTTAAAAGTTTCGATCAAATCACCACGAGCACGGCGTTCTAATAATGTAGTAAGTCCAAGCCTTAATAACCTTTGTACGACAAGTGTTGTAAGCCCTCAATTCGTTTCGTGAATCTCCTTTGACAGTTTTCAAGACTCATTATTAAGGACCAGTTCCCATTCCTTAACGATGGTGACCATAACTGTACACAATATTCCAAATGCGGTCTGATCAATGATTTATATATTGGTAAGAGCACACTCTTAGATCGAGACACGGTGTTACGAAACACCCATGCAGCCATTCGATTTGCTTTTCCAACTGCCTTTTCTATTTGGTATTTCCAATCACACTTATAAGACATTTCAACTCCCAAATCGGATTCTTGAAGCACTGATTTAAGAATATTACCATTTAGTAAGTAGTTACAATTTCTATTATCCATTCCCACGTGCATTACAAAGCATTTTTTGACGTTGAAAGACATGCACCACTTGTGCTCCCAGTCCGTCAAATTATTGAGGTCCTCCTGGATTTTATCTGGACTCTCAGCATTGCCTATAAGCTTAACGTCATCCGCAAATAACTTTGTTGTAGATGAAACAGCATTAGGTAAATCGTTTACGTAAAGCAAAAACAATAGAGGCCCCAGTACAGAACCTTGGGGCACTTCTGATGTAACTTTTTTCCAAGATGAAATAGCACTCCCAACTCGAACAGCCATCCATCTGTCCGACAAAAAATCTTCCACAATCTTCAACAGATTTCCCACTATACCAAATTTTTGTATTTTAATTAACAATTTACCATGCGGCACAGAATCGAACGCCTTTCGAAAATCTAAATAAATTATATCCACAGCATCGCCGTTTTCCATTATCCTAGTGATTTCATCCAACGTTTCCAATAAATTCGATAAACATGATCGACCTTCCACAAACCCATGCTGACTAGGTGAAACATACCTTGCGACATGACAAAGCATATGCTTCCTCAACAGCTTCTCATACACTTTACTCAACATACATATTAATGACACGGGTCTATAATTCTCCGAGTCAAGCACAGGCCCCTTTTTATATAACGCTATTAGAATTGCATTTTTCCAAACTGTCGGTATTTTGTGTGATCTAACACAACTCTTAAACAGTTCGACTATAGCTTTTATAAACGAAGAATTCTCACCCAAGCCCGTAGCTGGATCTCAACTGCTGGGGGGGCAGTTGCTAAAAAAATAGCACTCCGGTCGCAGCCTAGGAAAAATTGTAATAGTATGTTCTACCAGTCGACTCAAAATATTTGATATATATTTCTCGAAACGTAAAAGAAAAACATAGAAACTCTTTGATACAACAAACTCTAACTGAAGACTGTTATGCAATTAAAATGACAGTTAAGTCTTATTACAGAGACAGTGCCCGTTCTTTCAGTTTCCATACTCTAAGAAAATCGTCAAAGCTAATGTCATTCATTAGTACTTTACTTTCGAAGCTTAGATAAGCAAGATCTGCCTCCCTCTGTGTTCTCATTGATCTTCGTTGAGGAGAATCAACGCGAGTTAACGACGAAAATACGCATTCTACTCGCGTAGATGTGAATCCAGAAGTTAGTGCAACTTTATATAAGGAAGATAGTACAGGAGCTCCTTTCTGGTGATCATTAATGACAACAATGGCAACCTCGGTCAAATCAATTTTCCCGTTTTCGTTTTCGGGCCATTTTTTTTTCTTGGAATACTCGAGAGAATATTCTGCATTCAGCTTCTAAATCTTTTGCTGAAAGTTTTTCTTTTAGATAGTAATCTCTCAGCACAGGAATCGTAGCAGAATAGTCAAATAAAGGCTTCAGAATATGATATTTAAGGGTACATATCAGACAATGGCGATAACGCAGACATAGCTTCCCACAACGCAATGTTCTCGGTGGAAATCGTCGAATGAATTCAGCATGCAGTAAATCCAAGCATTCTGTATAAATTTGGATGTTTTGACGTCTTTTGTTCTCACTTGGCAAGGTTTCAGTAACCAGAAAATCGTTAAAACGAGAGGGAATTGTTGTATTCCTTTTGGGCCGGCGTTGGTCTCCACTCGTTGTTGTGACTCTTACGTCTTCCAAAAAATCAACGACCATCTTTTTAGTTTTCTCGCTTGTAGCACTTTCGCGCTCATGTTTGATTTCTTCTTTGACACTGTTAACGACCTCTAATGCTGATATAATTTTCATTGACGGATTGCAATTGTTTGACCATAATATCAATTGGTTTTAACACCTTCATTAACATACAGTTAATGAATACAAATGAATGATCATCGTCATCGTTCATTTGATTAAGAAGCCCGATTGCCTGAGCTTTGTCTTCCCCGGATAATTTTTTTTTTTCGATGCCACTAAAAGAGCTTGAATCAAATCGCCGTAATTATTGTTTACGTGACTCGTACTTTCGTAGTGACCAGACCATCGCGTTTCGATCAATCTCTTCAATGCAGTACCTTCGTATGATTCTAGGACGGCTGATTTTTTAAAGAAATTGTAAAGCGCCATTATTGTGCCATAATATTCCTTTATTTCGTCAAGATTTTCTGTAACAAATGTCACAACAAGATGGATTTTGTGGAGAAAGCAGTGTACATATAAAATATACCGATCGCAGAAATCACTAACAAGCTTTTGCAGTCCATTATAGTCCCCAGACATTACGCTAGCACCATCAAAAGACTGTGATACAAGACCGTCAACTGATATTTCAAATTGTGCTAAAGTTTCTTTGATGAAATTGAATATACCTTTAGCAGAGCGATCATCGATTCCTTTCACGTTGAGACAATGCTCCTCTACTTTTCCCACGGAAGATAAATAGCGGCAAACGAGGCCTTGAATTTCCTTTCTGTTTTTATCAGTCGTGCCATCTGCCATAATGGTAAACAATTCCGCTTTACGTACGTCGTCAGCAATTTTCTTTTTTACTAAGGATGCTAATACTTCAATTACTTCGTTCTGTATATCAGGAGAAGTGTACTTAGCGTTTTTTGGTAGATTCTTGTGGATTTTTTTCCATTTTTCTTCCAATGGAAACAGAAGTTGAGAAAAAGCTCTTAAAAACAAACCATCTCCTTTGTCAATATCAGACTCGTTCGTGCCCCGAAATGGAAGGGAATTTGCACATAAGTATCTTGATACGTTGAAAACAGCAAATAACCACTGCTTATGATCAGTACTAAGCGACACGAGAGATGCTACAACAGTACAACCGCGTAAATTTCGCATTTTCTTTTCTTCGTAAATTTCGATTGCTCTCAAATGATCACTGGAACATTGATGTTTGTTAAAGCCCTTTCCCTTTTCCTTGGCGTGCTTCCAATCACGAAAGCCTGTTTTAGTAAACGCCGACTCTGTCGGATTTGTTAAGAACAGTCTACAAGGAAAACAAAAACAAGCGTCCATCTCTTCATTATATTCCAACCATTTATATTCATTGTACCAACTAGATTTGAAACATCTTAATCTAGTTCCAAATCGCGTTCCTGGGTATACCTTCAGGTTGGGTTGATAAGGAGCTTTTTTATTTGCAAAAAAAGAAGTTTTAAACGGTTCCTCTCCCACATCCTGCCCAACGTGTAGATTTAAATCAGTAAATGGCCTGCTGTCGACATTGGGGGTCGTACCTCTTGTCGCTCTAAACCTTGCTCTGTGATTCTGTACTTGAGAAAGCACCAGACAAACATGCTTCCGTGCTTCGCGTTTTTGCTCATGGTGAATGTCAGTTGCCGGGAAATGCAAACGTTCTTCGAGGTCGATACGTGTTTCATTTTCATCAGAAATTGACATCGACATTCTAGATATATTCTCCTGACTTTCCACAGATGAATACCCTTTCCCTTGCAAATCACTTTCATTTTCGCTGCAAGGCTCCTTTCGTTTTTTTGAAAAATCGAATAATGTTTTCTTCATAATTCACATTGCAAAAATATTAAAATTTAACAGTGGATTTAACAACACATGTTTCCACAAAAAAATTCTGTCGTAAAATTCCTGCGTAAATTTCTTTAAATTTCTGTAAATTTCCGTGATTTTTCCTTTAATTTTCTGCTATGAATTAATTACGAATTATTTGTATAACTTATATTAATTAGCTTGCGAGAAAATAACACCGAGAATTGTTTAATTAAGAGAGTAAAGCAATGTCAAGTGGGCGTACCTTCCGGAATGAAAGTCACTAAAACAGAGGAATAATTTGGTGAGCTGGGGGGGCATAGTTTCAATTTTATTTCTGAATGGGGGGGCATTGCCCCCCCAGGCCCCCCCCCAGCTACGGGCCTGTTCTCACCTAGTGTTTGAAGTATTCTCGGGTGTATTTCATCAGGACCCGGTGACTTCAAAAGGGTCCACTGTGGATATCAGTTGCTTCACTTCTGATTCATCAATTTTATGACACCCCAGGATAGATATCATAACAATCCTCTGTTAATGGCCCAAAAGTTTCCTCTTTGAAAACCGAAGAGAAATAGTCAACAAAAACTTGAGCAGTCTCTAAAGGACTGTCTGTTCGTTTACCACTAACAGGATTAACTACAGATCCGACAGATTTGTTTACTCTTCGTTTTGATCTTAAATACGAATAAAACTTCTTTGGATTATATTTAATGTTCTGTGCAAGCTTCTGCTCGTAAATACTCTTTGCATTTCTAGCAACTTGTTCGAATGAGTATTGAGCATCAGTAGCTTTTCTAAAGTTTATGCTAGTTGGTGAGCAATCAAAAATATTCCAAGCTTTATCTTTTGATTTTCTAGACCTTCTTAATTTACTGTTCTCCCATGTGGCTTTCTTTATAGGTACTCCATCACTTGTACATTTTTGTACCATAACAGGAACACTGAAGTCGACAATATTCATAATTTTACTGTATAATTCATCCCACATACAATTAACATTCTCATTAACTCTTTAATTGTATTATAGTATCCATATACTCATTCTGATTTACTAATGCCTCGTTTGTGGTGCCATCAGGAGCCAAAACACGGCCTGAAAAACACGGGTCAAATGTTTTCATTCTAGAGCCGTTAACCGGCTTGGTAAATATGTCTGCTACATTGTCATTTGATGTTACATAAAATATATGCAGGAATTTGCTCTGCACTTCAGATCTTACAAAGTAGTATTTAATATTCATAAGATTACATCTTGTACAGCATTTTTAGCTAGAGCTATTGCTCCTTCGTTATCACAATACAAAGTGACTGAAGTAAACACATTTCTGGAGGCTAAGATGGTTTTCAACAACTGAGAAAGAAATTTAGCCTCTTGAACAGCGGTTGCGAGAGACATGTTATCTGGTTCGCACGTCGAATGAATTTTTCATTTTTCGAAAAACGAACCAAATATGCTCAAATACAAAATAAATTTGTCTGAGTAAATATTTGAAGACATTTTCAGCTAAAATTTTCAGCTGGAAAATTTTCGGAAATCGACAATTTTGGCCAAAGTGATTGATACCCTTACCATTTTCAGTCGAATATGACGATTTTTCAATTTTCGAAAAACCAACTAAATATGCTCTAAAACGCAATAAACGTGTCTTAGTAAATATTTGAGGCGATTTTCAGCATATTAAGACGTTTTTGAAAATTTTCAAAAATCGTCAATTTTGGCCAAAATCTTAAGGGTACTATATTTTGGCCGACTGAATTGACGATTTTTTAATTTTCCAAGAACCGAGTAAATATGCTCTAAAACGTAAGAAACTAGTCTTAATATAGATATTTGAAGCCATTTTAAGCGTTTTCGAAAATCATCAATATTGGCTAAATTGATGATACCCTTACCATTTTCAGTCGCAATTGACGAATTTTTTCAATTTTCCAAAAACCAACAAGATATGCTCAAAAACGAAAGAAATTTGTGAATATTCTTTATATATATAATAATATATCTTTATATTTGTGAATATAAATATCTTTATATTTGTGAATATTTGTGAATAATCTTTGTGAATATTTGAAGCCATTTTCAGCATGTAAAGGCATTCTTAAAAATTTTCGAAAAACGTCATTTTCCGAGCCAAAATAGTAATGGTCACGTTACCATATTGGTTGATTTGATTGGCGATTTTCGTCATATATAGACATTTTCGAAATTTTTGGAATTTTTTATAAGTTATGACATTCATAGTAGTGGTTGTCTAAAATTTCGAAAACTTTCGAAACTTTTTTGTAGTTGGTCCTGTGCTGTGCGTGCCTTCAGAACAAATGCATAATATTATATTCTCACTTATTACAAACTGTATGGCTTATGCTTTATTATTCCAGCGTGTTCAAAGATTATCCAAAGATGTATATAGTGTCACAGTGACAAGGGAAGCTCCTAGCATCCTTCGAGATTTAATGATGATCTTCCCGTTCCTATTTGGTAATTTTTCAGATTTGTTTACCGTGATAAAATACACAGGGAAACCTTGACTATTGTTAGGAATTTTAATCTATGCTTTCTGTGCAAATACCCAACAGCGCGGCTATCAAGTAAACAACTACCTTTGATTGATTTTGCAGGTAAATCTATAGGATTCTAAGTATTTTTTTCAACTTAACATATTCCTGCACTATATAAACTTTATTTATTTAATAAAGTTAAAATGTAACCTCAGTGCATCAGGCGCTGGTTCTAGAAGGAAGCCCCTTCACAGTAGGTGCAGGAGGTAAGGTAAAGATTTAACAAACTCGCATCATTTTGTCGCTAAGGAATCTTCAGCATCACTTTATAGCCAATCGGATTGTCTCTTCGTTCTCATTGATATTCAACTATCTCGTATTAATCTTGAGAATTAGCCAAATGATACGGATGAGGTGGTGATTTAGAGAACATCTTGAAGTCTTGAGGAACACATATTCCACGTTTAAAGTCACGTATCTGGCGAATGTGGTCGTTCTTTTATAAGCCCCAGGATGAGGAAGTATTGCATTTCAATTTGGCTGTATCACGTCTTTCAAAATCAGTAAAGTGCTCATCAACAACCCGTCAAGTTAAATTACAGTCTAAAGGCGAAGCTTTGCATGCATGCTTAAGAACATGAAGTTTATCGCGACAAACTGAACAGTGTTCCGGGAATTGAACCCAGTAACCGTGTGTACAAGTCAGCTTCCATTAGACCATTATGTTTTCTATTCTAAGGGCGTTTTACGTCAGACACTTAGTAGCGAAAATATTCTAAACTTTTTATCGAGTATAACGAGACATATACCAATTATGCGGATACAAATTGTCAGCTTTCATGCAATTTTCCTCGTGAAAAGTTTAATTTTCGTATGGAAAACCAACCGTGAACACGGTTCCGAACACACGGACACTGTTTTTTACGAGGGAAACCAGAGTGCCTGGAGAAAAACCCTCACCGAAAGCCGGAATTAAACACACAGTACACAAGTTTGAGATTTTATTAAAACAAAGTCATGTATTACAACAAAGTGTGTGTGTTTTTAAGATATTGAAATCACGAGAGAGGAGACGAACAATTTTGGTCCTATTTTTATTAATACTTCACTAAACATGTATTACAAAGTGTGTGTTTTCTTTACATAGTACATCATTAATATACGAAGACATTAAACTATTATATCTAAAACCGGTTACAAAGTAGGTGCGTTTAAGATTTTGACATTAAAATTTATAGAACAGTGCAGGTTAAATGTTAATTTGGCATACTTGTCATGTCTTTTTACAGTGTGTTATTGTGTTTGAGTAATGTATAAGACTGATCAGTAAAACATGCATTAATGTTAGTAAGTGTTTCTAAGTTATCGTGTATTTTTTTTGTTCTATTATAGACTTAACCCACTAACTCTGGTAGAGAGCTGAATAAAGCTTATGAGATCGACGAACTAATATAGTAATACATAAAAATGCCCGAGTTCAGAGCGCTTAGATTCAAGTTACGTTCGTCCAAAAACTAAAATTATTCTGCTGACAAATCATAGGCAGTGTTCCTAATAGTTTCGTTTTAAGCTGTCGAACTGTGCACACATATTTCAAGGATCGAGTTAACTTGAAGATATTTCATGAGCCCTTATAGAAACAGCATGAAGGAATACACAATTGTCCTTGAAAACTTCATTGCACATTTCAGAGCTGAGGCATATAGCCAGAGCAGGCTGCCCTTGTAGAAACAAGGTTTGGAAAAAAATACCACAGGAAATTGACTTTATATTTTTGAGGCTGAGGCATATAGCCAAAGCAACAAAATGCTGCACTTGGCATGTCGAAACCAAGTGCAGCATCAATTGTAAATATTTTTTTTGAAAGAATTCAGTCAACATTTGTTGAACCATGCAAGGGATATTCCCAAAGCAAGATGCCCTTATAGAAACAGCACCTAGAGTACAATTTTTTTTACAGCCAAGGCATATAGCCAAAGCAAGCTGCTCTTATAGAAACAGCCACAGGAGTACATTTTTTTCTTTGAAAATCTGGTTTAAAAACTTTTAGAGCTTAGGCATATAGCCAAAGCAAGCTGCTCTTATAGAAACAGCAATGAAAATAACACTGCAACGTTATTAGATATCCCAAGACACCTGCTAACACTTCGAACCACATAGCAAAGTCAAACAGTACAGACAAAAAGCGGCGCCTTACTTTTCATAAGCACTGCTCGACGAAGCTAAATGATTGGAAATCTCACAGAGACCTTGGAAAAATAATAAAGTTACAATGCCACTGCCAATGTTTGTCTCGTAATTGGTTTCTAACTATAGTAGAAATAAGGCATATATATCGTTTCAAGATAACAGCATGCACCCCCCACCCATTCCTTATTTTCTTCAAGTAAATTTAAACTCATTTG